TGCATGCATATTTTAAAAACATTTTTTTAAAGTTTTTAAAAATATTTATTTATTTATTTATGGTGCTTCGGCCCCCCAATTGTCTGAGGGACAGCAACCCAGCCCCCGGCTCAAAAAGGTTGCCTACCCCTGGTCTAAGAGTATGCTTGCTTGCCATGACATAGGACGTTATCACACCAGCGGCAAGAAATGCAGCATGGAATCAATCCAGAACCATACCGGAATGATTCTGGTCGCGCAGCCCTAATTCCTCTTTGAAAGAGGAATTCAAAAGAGCTGGAATGATGCATCGATGGCGCAAAGATGATGCAGGGATGGGCGGGGTTTGCCGCGACGTCATCTGATCACGGAGGCAAAGGAACCGGAATGATGTAGCGATGGTGAAGGGATGGGGCTGCTTTAGACCCCATGTGATAACGTCCAGACTCTCCATTTTGCATTTAAAAGAGAGGGAAAATTGTGCTTTGAGTTTATTTTGATTTTTAGCACAGTAATTTACACTTCTTTTAACAGTCGTAGTAATAAGGAAACAGAACAGACAGTTTCAACAGAGAAGGTGTTAAAATAAAGTTATTTTTAATATTTGTATATTTAATACATGTATAAATTTCACTCTCTGTGTGCCAGGCACCTAGATGTGCACCTAGATGTCATGAGATACCATTCAGATTGTTTCCAGAGGATGGAGAGTACCCAGTAACACTGCTTGGCAACTGATGACTACATAAAACTGAAGCAACTACTACAGTTGAGTTGTGAATATTCTGTACAAAATCTGTGTCAAACGCAGGAGCACACAGAGCTGTCCATAGACATGCTGAAACTCCTTCTTCATAGCTAGTGGAAATGACAAAGGGACTCTGGCTCAAACAAAAGTAATCTCATATTTCTCCTGTATCTTCCCAAAATTTTAAATTTTTAGGGTGCCCCATCAAATAATTAGTTCTGAGAAAGGAATTAAATTGGAACTCAGTTCCAGTTATACATTAAAATTATTTTCAGAGAAAGGGAGTGTAGTAGAACCACAGAAACAGTAATCCATCTGGATTATATCAAGAAGGGACAGCTTTGTTTGTGAGTTAGTTGGAATAAAGCCGCTAAATATGCGTCCAACCCTACTCAAATCTTAACTGGCTGAGAAAGTCCTTTCAAACAGATTGTATACAAAAAGTTTTTTGCTGGTTTATGTTCTCCCATACTGCCAGATCCATGTCAGCCAGACACCTAGTTCCGGTCAGAGTCTAGATCATCAATATAAGCCTGGTCCACCTCACTTTGACTATCTAGTTTAGCCCAAGACAAATCTAGGTTTCACATTTCTTCTGTCAAATGTAGAGCTGAGAAATCCAAGAACTCTTGCTCTTCCCATCACTACCACCCCACAAAAGAGTGTAGCTAATGTTGAGGTTCAGTTCCATCTAGCTTACTGGTTCTCCCTGTCACTTTGTTTTTAAAGGAACCTGTAGCAGAGTCCCAGGTTTAAGAAACTCCCTTTGTCTAGCCTAATAATTCTTCCAGGAACATACATACCTGGGCAATCTTGGATTGTTATGTTGTTCCTGCTTTCATCTGGGAACATTGTTAGGAGTCTCCCACCTTTTCAAATGACAAGGAAATGGTAATCTTGACTGGACCATCTGGAAGAAGAGAGACCTGACAGCATGTTCAGAGATGGATATTGTCAGGGGCATCCAGTAATTACAGGACATGAGAAACACTAGAAGAAACTCAGGGACAGCAGAGGCACCAACAGAACCTGGGGCTGAGCACTAACATTAAGCATAACATTTGCAAAATGTCATGCAGTGTAAAACTGAGGATTGGATGAGAGATCCTGCTGGAACAACTTTAGATTCTTGAAAAATCTGAAGGCTCAAACCCTGAAAGTTTTTAGTTTTTTGTTTTGTTTTGTTTTTTACAAAGAAACTGATGCATTAGAAGATGAAACACTTGTCCTTGCAAGGGTTGACAGGCTGGACAATCAATAAGCAATAGAGCACATGATCTAATTGGAAATATTTTACATCACAGAACTGAAGAATAGTTTATAGAGGGGCTAGAATTCAAAGCATGATAAGTTTCTAGGACATTTATATGTAGATCTTCCAAGATATTTCCTCCATATATACTATGGCATTACCAATTGTGAAGCCAATGTCTTAAGCCCTGGGGAAGGCAAACATCAAGTACAAGTGGGGCTTCCCATTGCGGGATGCTTCAGGAATTCTCTTCCAATGAATCCAAAGATATAGCTGTGTTAGTCTGTAGAATCAGGGTGTAGAGAGATCTTGTAGCACTTTTGAGACTAACAGAAAGAAATTGGCAGCATGAACTTTTGTAGACATGAGGAAGTAGTCTCAAAGTTGCTACAAGATCTCTCTACACACTCTTCCAATGAATATTATGTATATTTCTGCAGTTCAGAACATCCACATTCTGCTTGGAGTTAGCCTATCTCGTTTTTTGCTATGCTTTTTAAATAAATGTTCAAGTGACATTAAAAAATGGACAACACAGAACACTAGTTAAAATCTAGGCAAGGTATAGGCTTAAAGCCTGTTGGTGCACTGTGACAGTAGTTTTAAAATAATAATAATAATAATAATAATAATAATAATAATAATAATAATAAACAATAATAATAATTTATACCCAGCTTTTAGCCTTGGCCATCAAGGCGTCTTACATCTAAAATCAGATACATAAAATTTTACATTTCCCAGAGGTGTGCGAGTGGTGGAACCACTCTAGGCGTCACCCAACCTTCATGCTCCATTTTCTGCAGCAAACTAGAAAGTGTCTTTCCAGAAGTATAAAGAATTATGAGGTAGATTGACACATGTATAATTTAAATTCACATATGGAATAAAAGGAAACTGTATATTGAAAAAAGTGTCTTTTGATTCAGTACCCTTAAGTTATGTAAATTAAGTTACTCTTAATTTTTCTGACAATGTCTAATTTTCTTCTATCACTTTTAGTTTAATTTTTCTGTTGCCATCCAGTTTTCTATATACAATTATTTTAATGTTTTCCTCAACATCATGCTAATTCAAGATTTGCTTTTATTAACAACAAGGATGTTAAATCCTTATGAAGTAAATATTGATTTGTCCCAGGATAAATTGGAACCAAAATGAGTTTTAACTTTGGCCAGTATGGCTATTTCTGTACTTGTTTCCAAAATGTTAGCACCCACCTGCATGTGTATTGAAATGTCCTGATGTTCACACTCTCTCTAGCATAACAGGGAGATTTATTTACTGATTTTAGGCAGTCTAACACAACTCATATGCCAGTGATAAATTACTGTAAATATTTTTTTGCTCATTCACACTGCTACTAAGAGAGATAAGAGACATCCAAACTTTTTCTTAATTTACATTTGTGATATTACTTCCATGAAGCAGTTTTCAGGCTATCTTCACACATAGTAGACTTACAAACTGAAGTCCAACATGAGAATGATAGATCTTAGGGCTTGTTTATACTTGTAAAAAACAGTGTACTCACCTGTAGCTTTTCTGCCCTTAACGCAGGGTGGCCAGATGTCCTAACCGCAAAGGAGGATAAGGCACTGCATAATGTAGGACATTCAAGCAAATGTAGGACATTACAAAATAAAAGCTGAAAATACTGATATAAATATAAATTAATGCTTCTTAGTCATGTTCAGACTGGAGGACATTTTGAAATTTCTCCTGGACAGAAAGTTGAAATGTAGAGCATATCCTGGAGGACATCTGGTCACCATACCTTAAGCCAACTTTGCTTTGAATTAAGCAAAGTCAACAAATTAAGCAAAGTCAGGGGGAAATCCCAGTGTTCCCTGGAAACTCTCGAGTGACCTTGGGTTCTTTTGGCATACGAATCATTGGATCAGGTCAGATTCGGCCCAATCCAGTTGTCCACAAGCCAAGAGTTGTGTTATCTCCTTCTCCACTCTGAGCAGTTTAGGAAAAGGGGATGGCCTCTTTTCAAAGCTGTCACTGCTGCTTCCTCACAGGCAGGAGCTTTATGTAAATCCTGCCTGGTGCACTACCATTTCTGCTAAGGATAGAAACAGGCACCCAGACTCCTTGTTGATCATTTCTGTCCTTAGTGGAAGCGGCAGCACATTGGGCAAGCTTTGCACTGAGCTCCTGCTAACAAGGAAGAGGCTGCGGTGGCTCCAAAACAAGAGATGAGCCAATGAGGCTGATGCAGTTTCAGCCCAGCTAGCTTGTGTGCACAAGGATGTGATATCACACCAGATTTGGCCCGGTGTGTGTGGTTGCCATTGTGGTCGGCACAGGGCATTATGTGGCTGGCGTGGATGCAAATCCTCCTTTTCAAATGATGGTCTAACCCAGGGCTATTAAAAGTTAGTCAGTGTTCTAGGAGTACCTTGAGTACATAATGGTCTACACATAAATGTTCCTATGGGCAATTCTTGTAACCATGTGATCTTTACAAGTTCAGGATAAAAAAGGAAAAAAAAGGGATTGGAGGCAAATCAAGCAGCACATTTGAGTTTAACTGATGTATTTTAACATGAGCTTTTGTGGATTTCAACCCACTTCTTTAGATGGTCCTTCACATTCACTGATGGTGGACTAATGAACTAATACAAGGTCAGAGCTTTTCTTGTTATTGGAACTCCTCCATAGAATTAATCCACAATTTGGTATAAGCCATTCATCCTCCAGTCTTCAAACTAATTCTATTTTGTTTGGTTAGTGGAAATAGGGATGGTACAGAAAGGGAAGGAGTGAGGAACATCATGGAAATTAGAACTTTCACTCAAGGCTTGCAGGACTGAAACATGGTTGATAAAAAGAGATTTGTTGTTTTATTAAAGCTACAGTACTATAAATCACGTTGTAAGGTACCATTTTATTGCATAATTCCATTTTCCCCCAAGATACATCCCTCATGTTCCTGATTATGTGTAATAGCCATCTTGGTTGATATGAATTAAAATTTCAGGTTTAGTATTGCCAAGTATTCGTGGCAAGAGAGCCAGTGTGGCACAGTGGTTTGAGCATTGGATCAGGACTCTGGAGACCAGGGTTCGATTCTCAGCTCAGCTATGAAACCCACTGGGTGACCTTGGGTAAGTCATACGTTCTCAGCCTCAGAGGATGGCCATGGCAAACCCCTCTGAAGAAATTTGTTAAGGAAATCCCATGATAGGTTTGCCTTAGGGTCGCTGTAAGTTGGAAACTACTTGAAGGCACACAACAACAACAATATGAATCCAGCCTTTTCCACTACCATGACCTACCCAAGTAGGTAGGTCATGGGATGAAAAGAGGGGTCCCTGCTGCACCTTGCTACTGGCAGAGATCTGGATGCATCATTGCTCGGACCCCTACACCCCCCCCCAGTGCCTCAGAAATCCTTCTGTTGGGTGGGAGCTGCCTGGCTTTAAAGGTAGGCTTCGGGAAATACTTTAAATTGTTGCAATGGTCCAAAACCATAAAAATGAATTCTAAGAATTACAGCGTCATAAGTCTGGCTTACAACATCATAAATATTGAACAAAATCTCAGCCAATGATTACTGACATTTAAAAACTTCCTGGTTGTTTCCAATATTTGATAGGACAACAGAAATCACATCTGATCACTAGATATGTACTGTAGAAAAAATTCATTGCTAAGTGATGTTAGAATGGCAACAGTAACTTTGAGGCTTGACTTAATAACATTATTAACCAATAGACAGTTGATCCATGCCTCCCTTGGGCTTCAGTACTGCAATCACCTGCAGTAAGGACAGGTTGCTTACCTGTAACAGTGTTTCTTTGAGTGGTCATCTGCGAATTCACACAAATGGGTTATTCTGCGCCTGTGCAGCAAACTTCAGAACCTTCTTAGAGCTACTAGAAGCGTTTTGGTGGTAGCTCTGCCCACTCTCCAACTGCCTTATTTGCCAGTTTCCCACCTAAACCCTCAGTTCCATGGATGCCAAAGGAGCAGCCCAGGATCGAAGGAGAGGCAGGGCATCACTATGAGGGGAGGATGGGTGGGATCTGTGTGAATTCACAGATGACCACTCAAAGAAATACTGTTACAGGTAAGTAACCTGTCCTTCTTCGTGGTCTCTGCGAATCACACAAATGGTTTATTTAGACTGACAAGCTTCGGTCGGTGGAGGAGGGAGTGCCATGCTACATAAGATGGCACATTGCCACAAACAAAATCACCATTTGTGAGTCTGAGCCCCAGGCATGTAATATAT